ATTTTTTTCCATATTTTCTCACTTGGATGCTTCCAGCTGCATGCACCATGACAGTGACCTGTTGACTCATTAGAGAAAAGTGGCATTAGAATAATATTGATATGAGTTATGCTTTTGTGAGTATTAGCAAAAATTTGGCTTCTTCAGTTGTATAGTGTGTGCATGTGTTATATTTATTCTCTGGAGATTTTATACATGCTTTGATAAAGTAAGACCTTTAACACAGCCAAATCAACCTTGTTTGTCATCATTCTCTAAAATTCTCTTTTGTATAAATATAGGCCTGATCCACAGTACAGCAAATCTGCAGCTTCATTTTAGCCAATAAATCTGTAACAGTTCATGCCAGCTGAAATTACAGGAGAAAAACATGGACTAAACTTTGTTTCTTTAAGCATAGGCATTGTTTCAGTTAAATAAATAATATTACTCATGAGGAAAACAAGCCAGATTTGATTTAATGTCTTCAATAAACTAGTCAAACTTAATAGTTAAACTAAAAGCAATATTCCATTACAGGTTACCACTGCAGGGACCATAAAGGACTACATGCTCTCATAACCTGGCTTTACCATACTAAGACACAACTCTGTCCTGGCTCATCAACAGCTATAAAATAATCACTGACTAAACCACAGACTATCAAGTGTGCAGATGTGGTTAAACTGACCCTAACCTATTATCAGCATGATCATGCTGAATATAAATTACACACTATTACTTAGTTACATAATTTCTATTCTCTTCAATAGACTAGGATGAATTCCAGTGAAAAAAGCAGCTGGCCCTAGAACTATTTAGTTCTTTTGTAACATGAAGTCACCTCATGAAACTGATTTATACTCAGAATTCGCATTCATTTCTACAGGCCTATACAAAAACTGGTAGCATTAAATGACTCTAGGTTTTCATATAGTAATTTCATTAGCTATTACATGTTTGAAAATATTAGTGCTTCATATCAAAATAAATCAAAGACCATGAAAATACTGAAACAGCCAATTTCATGAGTATAGGGTAATTTAAGACACTCAGAGGTAACCACTGTACTGAACCTATACTGTAGCCTGTATAGTCTTCAATGGAGTATGACATCTCAGGTCACACTATAACTTCAGAGAAGAGTTCTATCTAGTGCCTGACAGCTATAATGGGCTTCTCGATGAAGCATGAATTCTATTTACTGTTAGCTGTATTCTGCATGCACGGATTTCCTGCTTCAGAGCTAGATTATAAAATGGTAAATGCTCATGTGCACTAAATTCTGAAAAGCTATTTTATAGATATGTATAGAACATGACACTACATGTTTTACATACCCAGCCACTAATTAGAAACATTCTTTTCTGTAAAATATATACTCAAGTTCCATCAAATGTGACTGAATATTTAATATAATGACTAGCAGAGGGGGACAGGTTGTCAAGGATTCTTTTTCAATTTAGACTGGAATTTCACATTTTGTTACAATTGTCTCATAAATTGTAAATCAGGTAATGAAGTTACTTCTTGATATTCTTTCACTAGAAAATGCATACAAATGTAAAAGCAAAAGAGTAAACAATAATGAAGAAGAAGCAAAGTTTGTTTAGTATTTATGTGGAAGGAACTCTGGGCTGTGAGATAACAAAGCGGTAGGAGCCTGCAGAGATATCTGAAAAATCATAGAGCCCTCAAGTATGTCCCTACAGTCTCATGTTTTATCCTTCTCTTCAGAAATATGAGATGGTACAGCATTGGTGTGTAATTCCCTATATCCTTTATCATTGTACAAGTCTTTTGTAGATCTGAGCCTACAACTGTGACTCAGCAGAGCATTTAAAAGGTAAATTCAAGCAGTATGCTGAATTTTCCACTAGCAAAACCTGCAAGTTCATCTGAGGAGAGATACACTGGGTAAAGCTTTCTACTGATCATCCCTCTGTGATAGAAACTATCCAACTACATAAGCAAAGCAGGGCTAACTTTAAATTTAATGTTGCCCAGGGTCTTGCTCAAAATTTGAATACATGCAAGGATGGAAACTTCACACCCATTTTGCTCTTCTCACATTGCAGAAATGATAAGCCATAGACTCTTAAGCTCTAGATTAATTACCAACCCTCATTTGACACAACATTTAAGAATGTGAGCAGCAACAACCTGACATACTTGCTTATATTACTTACCGAAGTTGGATCTCAATCAAATCAGTATCTACTACCTTTATGAATAATTTTGAATGTGAAGAGTACGTATTTTTCAGATAGTTGAATGGATGTAAAGAAAGATAGTAATGTTGCAATGATGAATTTTACAACCTGTTTATCTATGGCTTTCCACTCCCTCATGGCTAGATATACCTTTATCATGGAAGAATATTCTGTATAAATGGACTATACCTCTGCCTTTGGTCTTGTTTTAAAAAAGTCTTTTTCATACACTCCCTTTTGACTGAAGACAGAAGGGAACAATAAGGCCTCATCACCATAATTAGTTGTGTCACTGATGCGGCGAATTTGAGGAGCAGGAATATCTGAACGAATAGTTGGAACACCACACACTCGATAACCTGTGGAAATCAATCAACAAATAGCATGTAAAAGCCTGCATGTAAAGAATAATAAAACTTTTTGTGGGAAATGAGAATAAATTTGATACTTTGTCTCACATAGGTTCAATAGGAATTTGTATAATTTTATTCCTCATCTCTTCTTCTTATTTTTAGAATTCCTAGCTTCAGCTACATTGTAAAGCATGACAACAGGAAATCTTGCAGTATTTTTCTAGTACTTATCCAGTACTAGCTAAAAACATCTTAGGTGATTCCAAGAAGATATTGTTCTCCTAAACTTACTGACATAATTTCTCAAAGACATCTAGGTTAACTTTCCCATTTTGAATGGTTTAATCATGCCAAACATCCAAGCCACACCAACGTCCAAGCCACAATCCTAAACAAATTTAGTTTAGATAAATTAATTCATTATTGTTCATTAGTAGACCCTGTAGCAATACTTTTAAAACTTGTTCCCAATTTTGTCTTAAATGATGCTCAGAAGTGAGTACAGTCCACTGTACTTACGGGTTGTTGGGAGACCACCTACTACAGCATTATACTGAGAAGAAGTTGTCTGATAATTTGCAAATACACGATCTGTCGGTCTTGTAAGCGTTTTTGGTGTCTTTTCTGAACTTCCTGCTTCTATTAATACAAGATCTTCCTGCTTTATCAGTTGCTCGTCATTTGTCGTTGTGTCTTCAGGCAGAACAGAAGCATGTATTTCTTCTCCTATAAACAAAATTCATGGTACAGCCAGGATTTATTATCAGCACATTATAGACTAAGAGGTAAAAAACATGTTTTTTTTCAATCTTTGAAAAACTACAGAGTAGATAACATAGATATGAAGCAGATAATTAAACTGTATATCTGATAATGATTCTGCAAGATTTTTTTACTTTCTCCTGATTTATGGACATTCTTAACATGCCACAGAGAACTCCAGTATTCTGAAACACATTTGTATCTGAGGCTCTGTTGGTGGCAGGCAAGGACTAAATGTGCTCTCTAAATTCCACTCTTCTAAAGGAGCACCTAGTCTATACCAGCAACGTCCTTTCAACAGCTGTTGTAAAAACAAGATAATTTCCACAATTTCCCAGTATTAAGTCATCTACCTTTTGTTATTATTTTTTCTTCAAACTCTTTAACAGCCATTTTGTCTTTCCAGTTCAGAAAATTTACAAACTCCAGATAAACAATCAAACTATCTTTATCCAAATCACAATAGTCAAACAAGGAATCCAGGAGCTCATCATCTAGATTCATATTAAGCTGAAAATAGGACTTTTGCAGGTCATCCTTGTCTATCTTTCCATCACCATTCTATTATAAATAAAACAAAACAGTTGTTATAACAGCCACTATAAAAAGGCTCCACGAAAAGGAATACTATGTGTTTGTATATACACAGAGAGAGAGCGAGTGTGCATCAGGCACAGCATTTCAGACCAGTAACATTGCTGAGTACAAAAAGAAACCTTGATTAATTTAGAACTTAAAAATCTGAATACAGAAGTGTCAATAAATAATTTTCAACAAGTAATACAGTGATTTGAGATTAAAAGAAAGTTAGTGTGACAGGGTATTGTGACAAGATAACAATCTAATCATAAATGCTGAGGCCAAGCCAAGATTTCTTTTGAAAGTAAGGCATCAATCATTCTGTATACATTACAATTAATGTTAATTATAACTTTTTTTCCAGAGGAAAACAAAAAAAGAAAAAATATGAAAATCTGGTGCTTTGGTGACTCAGTCAAAAAGTGCAGCTTAGAAGAAAATATGAACATAATTCCTTCAACCATATTTCTTTTAAGAAGAAATACCAAATTTTGAAGAGTAAAAAATGCTATGATTATCCTGCTCAGAAGTCTTTTTCTTGCTGTTAAATACGAAACTCCAAATACTGTTGTGAAAGACTCCAAATACTGCAGTGTTTAATTCCACAGCATATGACCATATATTAAACATACAATAACTAAGAAGTTACCTTGTCTATACAGTCTTGGCTTGCTATGCCTGTGTTTCTTCATGTCTGTATTTCCATAGCACACAAACGCTAATGTCACACACTCCTTTACATTTATATTTTTTCAAAGCACTAACCTTATCAAAATGCCTGAATGCTTCTAGTAACATGTCATAATTCTCATAGTTAGCTTTCTTCAAACTTTGATGAACTGCAGCCAAGACAGCTCTCTCTCTGTCTTTACCACGGAGGAACTGACACGGAATCCGGCAGTGAATAAGATCACCAGCTCCTATAAAAATAAACACCTCCTTAATTAGTTGCGCATATACAGAAAACAGGCATTTTAAAAAATGGCTTACAGTCTTAAGGAAAAGGAGAATTTCAGTTTTGAGATGCTGATTTTTGGCACTGCTGAACATCTGATATGGCCATTTCATTAAAAGATCATATGGGCCATATGATGATTTCTCTACTCATAGGCAGTTAATATAAAAACATTTTCAAACATCTTAATATAGCTTCACAAATCCTTCCACTGCTTCTGACAGCAGTAAGAGTTACTTGATGTCCAGATAGTCCAAAAGAACATATACTATTAATCTATCACTTACAGTCCGTCGTATTTGAGGATACTTACAAGAACCAATGTAAAAGTCAATGTAATATTTCAGATAATTATATACCATAGATTTCTAGAAATACAATGTACTATTTTTGTGGTATTTTTCTCATTTTCTATGTATCCTAACTTTTTTAGTATTTTTAAACACTTTGACACACTGAGCTGCAGTCTTCATCCAAGTCCCCAGGACACCAAGGTCATTTTCTAGAGTGCAAGAAGTTCATTCAGTCCAACAACACACAGCATTAGCTCACTTAATCCTCTTTTAACAGAAACGTACATGTATTATTTTCTACAAGTTAATAATGAAAATTATTTGTTCAGTTCCTTCTGCTGTTTCTTGTAGGACAAGCAAACCTACACATTTAAAATATTTACCTTTATTACTCTACATAGTAAAGCATTTATAAAAGCTTATGCAAAATTTGAACCAGCTTTCTGTAGTCTTGACTAATTAAATAACTTTGAGCCACTTACATTTTTTGCTCACTATTCACTGTATTCCCTAGTCATTAAACATAATATCAAAACACCCATCAATCCCAACATTTACTACCTGTTACTACAGTTTTGAAAATTTTGTCATAATTAAAATTAATATTTTTTTATTTTCATTCTATTTTCTGTCTGTTACCTTCAAAATCTTCTTATTATTCTTACTTATTTCTTGATATTTTTACTCTATTTTTAGAAGTGCTAGAAAAAAATCACTGAGAGGGACAACACAATTGATTTAAATAGTTATTTTAACTTTGTCACTTAAATAGCAATATGAGTTTTCTGCTGTTTCCCATTTTGTTTACATTCAGATACAGAGGCCTTAAAAAACACACAAACATGAATTTCAAAAAATGAAAGTTTCTTTATTTCCGATATTCATTTTTTTTCCCACTAGCAATTTCAATTTCTGTAAAATTTTCCCTCCAAAAATTTAGTGTCACTCGTAAATTTTCATACCTTGCTTCTAAGATTTTAGGAAAATTATATACTACACAACCAACAGTAAATTTTATTCTGCCCCTGAACTTACCATGTTCATCTGGATGGAGTAACGTTCCAAATGTATGGTCTGGGGGAACATTCATAGTTTCTGCTATACTGTCAAAAAGTACATCTCTTTGTTAATTGTCAAATAGTTCACTAACAGCCAAAATAAACCTTATGCTATTATTATAAAGATATGTGATCATCTGTTATGTAATTAGGGATGATACATATAGTTCACTTGAAATTTATTTATCAGCACTTTGCTTCAAAATTGCCATTCCTTTATAAACCTGTTTAAAACATTTGTTGTCATGCAATACTACCAAATGTGAACATTAACTTTTGAACATTTATACTCATTAAAAGTAAAAATACTCTATACTAACAATTTCCCCCCCCTAAGACAGTAACAGAAATGAGTGACAAAAGTTCTTATAAAATAATAGACAAATAATAGGAATGTTTAGGACAAACTAGATCTCTGACTGAAACCATGTCTCCAAATAAACTACTTTTGACTAACGTGGAGAAATTGAATCACATCTCACATGTTTTTTCACATGCAATTTTGTGCCTACAAAAACCAGCAACCAAGCCAATATCCACATGGAAAATTTGGCCCATTTTTATTTACCAGAAAATTAAGATGCTGTTGGTGACATTTAAGAATTGTTTGATTATTTCTTAATTTGAAAAAGATGCAATGTTTATCTTATTTCTATGTTTAATAATTAAAACAGTTACATGAACCAGAAATCTCCATAAAGATTGAAAAGAGAATCAATGCTTTGTTCTAAAACACAAAACAAACAAACAAACACAAAAACTCACAGAAATGGAAGCACTGTAACCTCAGAGCTATTATTTCTTTTATCATTTTCATATTATACATGGATGTGGATGGTGTAAAATTCACTAAATAAAATTAGGTTAACTTGTATCTGTCTTGTAATGTTAGTCCTGGGTTTGAGCTTGCATTGCAACCCATACTCCCTGACTGATCATACTGCTTCATGTTGCTCACACTCCCAGTCTACTGCAGTGAGCTAGGACACAGTGAAGGGGAGAGGAGAAACTGGCTCACATTTGTGTTCACTCCCTGCAGGTACTATAGGCATCATTCTCCAGAGTCACATAATCTTGAGCTTAAATTTAAATTTTGCTACCAAAGTCATTAACGCTGTTTGTAAGCCTCCAGATACAATTCTACAGAAATCTAGAGCATCTCCAAAGACAAGCTTTGTATACATTCAAGAACCTTGGAATACCTGGATCCTGACCACACTGTACCTTAGGACTACTGTAGCTCTTCATAAGCACTGTTTTGTAAAATTAAAAAGCTGTTCCCAATCACCTGAGTTTTATGAAGCACTGTAATGATTCAACTGAGGTTGACACATGCTGCTAGACACAATTTAGTTCCATATCCTTTTCCAAGCAAGTAATAAATTGAGAATACAGGTGATGCAACAAAGATGACCAAAAATAGTATCAAAGTAAAATGTCAAATCCCCAAACAATGGGTAAGACATTTCAGTGCTTTCAAACTTTCCTAACTGCAAAAGACAGGAAAAAAATGAAGTGTTACAGTGTGCTTGTCATTTGCTTTGTGCAAATCTTGTAGATTCAGATATAGACCACTGAAACAGTAAGACTTAACTGCACCACACAGATACAATACAGCCCTCATTGCAAGTAAGTAACTTGCACTTACTAGCCTAATTAGGGCAAGTATAAAGTCTTTTTCTGTAACTGAGTGCTGCAGTGGAAGCACACAATTATAATTTTTACCCAAGACAGAAAAAGATATTGAAGACTTGGCAAACATGAGTGAATTTTGTTCTTGGAAAGCGTCTTTGCTTACTTATGGATCAAGGACTTTTCCAAGCTGAGGTTGAAATTTTTCCTTGAAATCATCACTTTGTTTTGATACACTTTTTGCTGCTTTCTTCCTACAAATTATGAAAACAAATGTCACACATATTTGTTAAACAATACTTAATAATTTTTCAATAATATTAAAAAATACTGTTATATGTGAGAAGGAAACAGCAACTGCTCTGCAAGACAAACATAAATTTAGTAATTAAAAAATCTTGATATTTAAAATCAAAGATGTCTTTATGTAATGCTAAAGACATGCCAAGTGCCGTTATACTATGGTAGAACTGATTCAGATAAACTATTCTGAAAATTACTCCTTGCACTTTTCTATTCAGTTCAGTATAGCTAAGGACAGGATTGTGAAATGTAAAATTATCTTCAAATATAAGACTCTTCTTGAGAACTCACACCACTAACTAACTAGTTCACTTATTGCAACTTACGATTGCAGATCACAGAGCCAATTTAAGGATTTAGATACATTACGTCCATCTGTAAAGTGAGGGGTTTCTATTCCATAAGCAAAAGACTTGCTGAAGTTTGGCGAGTCATACTTTCTATTTATTGCTTCCCCTGCAGAAAAAGTAAGTGTTTCAACCTGTATAAAACACCTCGAGAAGAAAAATGTACTAAGTACCTTCATTCTTAAAACAAAACAATGAAGAAACAAAAACAAATAACTAACAATTCTGTTCAATTAAAGATAACTAATCTGCATTCTCAATGTTTATTAGGTAGTTAGGATCAATCTCATTGTCAAACGTGAAGATAAAAGGCAAAATAAAAACCAAAACTACTTCAGTGGTAGAATAGTTGTATGTCCTCTTATGCCTGACTAAAGATAAGCCCAACAGTATTAATGCAAAAATACCAGGTAGCCTAAGTAGTGAGGGTCACGCAAACAAATCACTTTATAATGTCTGTACCTAAGCAGAGACGTGTACCACTTAATTTGCTATTTGTTAAAAAATAAATGCTAAGAGGAAAAAAATGCTTTTGAGGTGCTGCACTTTCAGATCTGCTCTTGACTTTAATGGAAATGTTGTCACTGACTTCACTGTAAACAATATATTACCCTATTTTTCATTAATCTATTAATCAAGTCTTGCCTTTAAGTTTAACATATAACAATATCACTTAAGTACATAAGTGAGCTGCAAGCATATGATTCACACTAAAAAATGTCATTCTGTTTCTTCCTGCTCTTTTCAATCACCTTGAGAAAAGAACAGTAATTCGCACTTTCAAAAAATACTATTCACTGCATGCTTTCTAATAAGCTTAACGCTGAGCTCCCCATCAGAAAGTCTAGCTGCCCTGAAATTCTGTTTGGATCCTGATAAAAGAGAGGAACCAAAGGCGAAAGTACTGGAACAGCTCAGGCTCACAGTCTGTGGCTTTAAGCCTGAGATTGCTCTCAATAGCATAAACAATGCAAACTCAATACACAACCAGGGTACCTATGAGTTTCTAGTTCCTGGAAATACTTTGCTTTTCAAATGCACCCAACAGAAATCAGGCTTTCATCTCCTTCACTGAGTTCTTATACTGTCCGATACACCCACCACAAAGTGATCTACAGTCCCAGAAACAGGTCATACTCTCTCAGTTGCATATAAGCATTTTTTTCACATCAGTACTTTTAAAAATAATTTATATTATATTAATACAGTAGTAAAAAGTCAGACTTTATAATTCAAAATATAGCATACAACACATGTTGAAGACACAAAGAAGAACAAGTACCTTTATTTATATTAGAACTTTTTATGCAGTTTCTTATCAGCCTTTGAACGTATCCGCATAATAACCATGGTGTGAAACAATGTACAGATCATGTCCTTCTCTGGATTCTTTATCCACTTCCTCAGAAATTTTTGGTGGATTTATAAGCTCTCCAGCTGATACATCTGGAAAGTAAGGAATAAATAAAGGGTTGGGGGAGGTAAGGGGAAGGGGTGTTTTGTTTGGCTGTGTCTTAATATTAAACAATATCATGTTAGAGAAGATGTTAATACTGTGGAAGAATGATAGTTCTTACGAATTTCTAGTCTAATGGCATAGGACTAGGGGAGAAAAAAATTACTGAACCTGAGATTAACACAGATGTTGCAAGAGAGCTACATGGTCAGCACATACGTGATTTGCTCCAATCTATGGAGGGAAGATTCAGAGGTCAAGATAGTATCTTTTATTAGACTTATTAGAATACCTGGGGAAAGGAAGGTGTCAGCTACCTAAAGAGGTCTCCAGGGAAATCTGCAAAGACAGATGTGGAGCAGAGCCAAAAGCACTACTAGCTACCAAATACTCTCAGTTGCTTGTTTCTTCACCGTAACTGAAAAATAATAGTACATTTTATGCTTTTCAACAACTGCTATAATAATAACTTTTCTATTAAGCTGGAATTGTTGGAAGCATAGAATATGTGCTAGATACTAAATTGCAGACTGTCTCAGATTCAGAAGAAATCTGTTTTAATGCTAAATTTTCCTACCTTTGATGACTTTTGATCCAAATGTAGTATTAATTATATCCAAGCCCTTAGGTAACATAGGAGACTGATCATGTGATCTGCCCAAGGGTGCTTCATGGTTTCTCAAGTAGATTGCTTCTTTTTTGTCTTGCATTATTTGTTGAAAATTAGTTAAAGGGAGTGGATTTATCAATGACGCTACCTAGACACAACAAACAACACAAAAGGCAGGAAAACCAGCAAAATTTAATCATTGCACACAGACATGGCTACCCTCTCACACATAGAGGAACTTAAACTTTGATCTTAAGTGCTCTAAGATCTTATGTGATTACACTGACATATTTTTATGTATCAAGCTGCAAAAAACAAAACTGTATTTTGAGAGAAGACCACTAATAATAAATACTACGCTAAATCTCCAGCTGAATAAAATACATATTTTGGATTTATATTTTTGTACGAGTTTTTCCACTTGTTAATTTATAAAATTTCAGACTGCAGCCTTTCTGTTCTTAGTGTCTATTAGAAACTATAGTCAAATTATGATATGACCAAAACTTAAGTACGAAAATTACTATAGTTATGACACCTTTGGAACAAAGTCTCCTGGTGGTTATGACTAAAAACATCTACTGTCTAGCAGTTAAGACTATCCTCTAAACAGGCATTCCCAATTCTGCCAATGCAGAATTTAAAGACAGGTTTTTAAGATATACAGTAATATTACATCCTAAAATGACACACCAACAGAAATTACTTCAGCAGGGGTTTCAAAGCTTAGCACTAGGTTGGATAAAATTTTTTCCTCAGTGTACACACTGGGCTTCGGTCAATAGAAGCTGCTTGTAAGTTAGGTCAATTTTAACAGAAAACAGAAAAAAAAAAAAACACAAGAAAAAGTTTAAAAATGTCAAAGCAGAGTATTTTGATCTTCCCAAATAATTACATCTTTCAGGCTACCCATCAATGTAACAGGTACCCTAGCGAGGATTTATTATAAGACTCTTGTTGAATGTTATATAAAGAAATATTGAAAAAAAGTAGTAGCAAATACAATTTATCCAAACCTATGCTTGGAGAACTCACTAAGATTCCAACTCTTCCTTCAGTTAATATTTAATTAATAATGTAAAGTGAAACAGTCTTCAAGAGACTGACTTCCATTCAACATAAAACTTCTGAGAAGGAACACCAAGAACCTGGGTTTTTTTCATTTTGAAGATCCCTAATAAATGCCCTATTTAACATCCTCTAATACAAAGACTTCTGTGTTTCAACCTGAAGACCTATTTTTGAGACCGCAACACCTCTTTGCCTCAACTTAATTTGTAAAACTGAAAACTATTAATTTACAGGCCCAGTTGACTAAATGCATCAGAAAATTGTATTTTACTCACACAACTGTTATTTTTAGAGATTTGAACAATAATTGTGTTATAAAATCACCAATGATCTCTTTGATTGTTTGATTACAGATTACAAAAATAATTTCTGAAGTAAAGAATACACACAAAATAGTCTGACATATTCAAAACAGTACATTTTAGCTAAGAAAAATCAGTTTCAACCCCAAGCTAAGAAAGAACACATAATAATTACACTGAACTATACGCATGTTCTCAGATAGCAGTTTCCTGGCTAAGAGCTCAACAGGTTTTACCGTTGTAATCAGTAAAGAAGAAAGCAGCAAAATTTGTGGGTAGAAGACTATCCATTAACTTAAATGCTGAAATGAAATGAATAATTCAGTTTTGATTGCAAAAGTTAAATCACTGATAAAAGTCACCAAATTTCAAGTGTTTTCCTCTTTCAGTCATGCTAGTTAAATCCTATGAATTGACCACAGAATTCAGGTAATCAACAACAGTGGTGAAATGCTGCAGTGTAAATCACTCAGCTTTATCCCTGAATATGAAGAAATCAGTTGGTCTTATTAAGGACATTCTTAAACAAAAGTAGACAAGTCACAATCTTACAGTGAATGGAGAATGTAACACTTTGCCATGTGTCAAGTGAGCTGCAATGTCGGGATCATCTGCTGTGCCATAGAATATTCTTTCAATGCCAGGAGCTGGATTTGTTGTATTTCAAAAGTTTCGCACAATAGTTGGCGTAATGGGCTACACATAAGGCAAAGCAAAACCAGTTATACAGCAAATATTCACAAAATACTAATGAAAAGAAAATGTACTGCAGCAATTTCAGTGTGATTCCACAGAGGTAAGAACAAAATACGAGGACGTTTTTGGGTTGTAATACATGTATACGCTCCTTATGCACAGAATATCAGCATCTGCAGGAGCGTAGCCCAGGCCTAGCCTAAATTTTATCAAACCAGCAACAGAAGTAGGAAGAGAGTAGCTAAGTTTCAACTATCTGGTTCCATCTTTAAGATGGATAACAGCTTTTTCATGTATACTTCATGAAAAGTAGATGTTACATTTGTCAACTTCAGAAACCTTTAACCTGATTCACAACGGTTCCATCATCAATGAAGCAATTTCAGAAATTATTTTAACCACAGTTTTGTTTTTTCTAAATAACCCATTTAAAGGGAGAGCTGCTATTTAAGGGATCTGCATCACAGTATCCTTTGACTCTTCAGGGGCATGGGGAATGGCCAGTACGAAGCACAATTCTAGGGGCATCCTTGACAAGAAGGATCTCCATCAGAAGTAATAATAAATCCTAATTATAACCACTATAACTGTACTATCAGAGAAAAGTTGTCTAAAACAATTCTATTTAGTCTTATCTAGGCAGGCAGGGTTAATTTTGTAAAACAGGCAGAGTGAAAAGAACTGCCAGATATGTTTTACAATCCTACCAGCTATTCTGTATGTTCCCATGTGACAAAAACTAACATAGAAAAAAACCAGTAGTTTCTAAAGAGGAGGGATGTAGAAAAAAAATGACCAAGGTTTCACTGATTTTCTTTTTTTATAGGGCCTGTATTGAAGAATAATCACCAATGAGAAATTATTACAAAAGTTTCACAAGGAGTGTCTGAAAAAACAACTCACCCTGGGTAAAACTTCAGTGAGGCCACTCGCAGCTGTATCGCCAGTGGAAAACAACTTTCCAGCCTAAACAATACAATAAAAAAATAAGGCATAACCAAACCCATTGTACAAATAAGCACAACTAGCTAAATTACGATCTGATATCTCGCAGGAGATGATGTCGAATTGTCCCTACTTTGATAAAAGGGGCAAAAAAAAGCAGCCACACGCATTTTTGTGAGGGAGACAGTGGGGACAGCAGCAAGATGCGCCTGCCTGATGCACACTCTGCTCCTCCTCCAACCCACGGCGAGACTCCGGACCTAGAAGGACGCAGAGAGCAGGTGGATGGCTCCACGACAACGGTGGGACCCCTTCGGCGAAGGCACTTAGGGCCGACCCCTCAGGAAACCTGCCTGTCAACTTCTCCTCCCACGTGGGCCGCAGCTCCTCCACCATGGTGGCACACAACCGTGGCGAACGTTTACCCCGCTCGCATGGTAATGGCGGCAGCTGGCGTCACCGCCCCCCTCGGAGGCAACGACGGGAGCTCTCGGGTACGGTCTCCGCCCTCACCATCCTCGCACCCAGCACCCAACATCCTCCGCCTTCACTGTCCTCCTGTCATCTCCCTCACACCCAGCACCCGCCGTCCTCTCACCTCGCAGCCCTTCCGCCATCTCCCTCGCACCATCTCCCTTGCACCCAGCACCCACCTTTCACCGTCCTCCCGCCATCTTCCTCACACCCAGCACCTACCGTCTCCATCCACACACACACAGGAGAAAACCAGAAAACAAATTGAGCTCAGGCTATTTTGTAACCATCGTGATATAAGGAAATAATTAAGGTTCAACTGCAGATGTATGTCTCTAAGACCAATTATTTAAAGTTCTTGAAAATCCACCAGCTTTCAGACGGCAGGTTGAGTAATCTTTGGGTTGAAAGGAGGTTTTACATGGTCAAAAGTCTGATCAAACTTTATTATAGTCTTTATTAAGTGTTCTAATAAAAAATACAGCTCATTTCACAAATGTTGTCATGTGTATAAATATATTAATAAAATATTTTATACCAAGATTGGTCCTCTAAAGAAAACTGCAGTTCCTATCTATGCTGTTGCACAGAAGCAGGTGCAATTCTGAGAGAAGCCTGTAAGCGCTACCCATAGGTCAGGACACATGAATGTTTGTCTTAAATGAGTCAACACATTGTATATCTAAAGCACTGTGTTTGCCTTATACAAACAGATGTAGATTATTCCAGAAAAGCAGCATGGATAAGAGTGAAAAAGTTTCAGCACCATTTAAAAGCCCCTCAGCTCCTACAAAGACTTTTACTCTCAGGTGGCATTTAGTAAACTGTCCTCTTCATCTCAGCAAAACATCTAAATTTAATCACACCCTGCTTCATTCTCTATAGTCCTATGACGGCAAAACCAATTTTAGATAAACATATAGACCTTAACATTAATTAATTAACAAACATCACCAGCTGTTCCCATTTTATTCTCAACTCTTAACACTTGTTTGATAAGGATTTAAAATTAAGGAAGCTAAATTAAAACTGAATTCTCACAACCCTTTCCTACAAATGGAAGATGAGATGGTTGGGCAGCGATGCTCACTGATGACCAGGCCACCAGGTGCCTGACTACCTGCTCCAGCTGTCAGAGGCATCGACAGTACCTGTCAGTACTATGATGGGTTAGCTTCATCTTCCTCAGGTAACATATGTTATCTTCAGCTATTACCTAGCTGTGGCAGTTGCTGGTGCCTTTTTCCAAAGGAGATGTGTTTTTCTACTGTAGACATGGCTGTACAACACTGTGAATACAGAACATCCACGATCGCTTGGGACCTAAAGAAGCTATTGTAAAATTTAACATATTCAGTTCATTTATACTTCAGTCATATTTATTGTTACTTAAAGTTTAGAGTACTCCTGCCAAATAAAGCAATAATTGTTGGTAGTTTAATAAATAAAATAAAATGATTGATTACTTCTAACCTTGTGATCCATTCATCTGTCAGGTACAATTTCTATTTCTAGTAAGGTTAAATTGTGGTTTGAACAAAACTGCACAAGTTAGAAATAAGGGATGGATTTGATCTGTTTGAGAGGAGTAACTGGGTAAGGATAAAGCTGCTAGAAGGAATTTTTTTATACAGATGAAGAGCAAAGTATAGTATATGGCAATAGTAGGGCATAGGAAACTGGGGTTTGATTTTTTATTATTGTGATTGTTGTATTTCTAGTTGGCTATCTACCTGTGTTCAAGGTGTTACCATTTTTGTACATTCTGTTATTTCTGATTTCTTTTGTTCTCACATTGGTTTTTTTCCCCCAGTAGGTGGCTGCACTTGACAATTCGAAGAATCCACTCAGCCCTGATGGAGTAGGTCGCGTCAAAGGCAGGACCTGGCAATGTAAAAAGAATGACTATTGCAGAAACAAACAAAGCAGAAGTCCTCCGCCTTCACTGTTTTGCTTCTCTGTTTTTTGTTTGTTTGTTTTGTTTTGTTGTTGTTTGTTTTTCAGCAGAAATGCAGAATCCTAAGAATCGATTTGAAAACTACTAACAATATACATGCTTATCTTGGCTATCATTCACACATCTGTTGGAAGCAGACCCTAAACCCCCTCAGACCAAAAGCCTACCCTTAGAACACTCTCATTTGCTAGCATCTTTGTGGAAGAGGGAAATACCTCACTGGCTGCTTTCCAAAAGAGATGCGTCCAGGTGCAAGAGAAAGTAGGAAAATATTTTAAACTGCAGAAGGTGCTTCTATTATAAATTACTACAGCAGGGTGGATACTGTAGAAAACTGGTTAGTAAAAAAATAGAGAAGAATACATCTCTTTCATGTATATAAAAATATTCTACTATTAAGCTATAAAAACTACATCCATATTTTCACAGTCTATAAAAAAAATCTTAAAAACATGAATCTTGAAGTCACAGAAATGAAACTAAAATACTAGCGGATGAATTTGGAAAGATTTTGCCTTCATATGAATCGCATTAAAAGTAGATAGGATTCAGCTTGGCAAAAGCCAGTGTATTGTCAGCATATTATGGATAGACATATAATGTGAGAAAGCGTAGTAAAAGCTAGAGTTTCTTACCTATATGTTCTAGTTATTTTATCAAGTTCACAGCATAGATACAAAATGTGAACTCAGAGTTCCATGTAGATGTAGCCAACAAAAGAGCTGCCTCTTCTTCCTGTAGTTCTGCTCTCTTTAGGAATCAGTATGATATTAGTTCCTTCTCAGACTGAAAGTTAGTTGGTGTGCAGGAAGAATATTTGTAGAGTAGGAAGGACCTGTAAATTTTAAAGATAAGCTAAGGAAATAATAATAAAAAAGAACTCTACTTTAGGAAAAAAAAATCAAAACTTTCTTGACTACAGCATGAATTTGTCATCTCCTATGTTAAAAGAGTCAGATCTCTAGAGAAATCCATTTTGGAAAAAGTTGAACAAAGTATCCCTTCTACAGCAGTACTTTTTTACTAAACAGTGATTGTAATTTTAAAGTTACCACTATTTCCTAACACCCAGTTCCCACAATATAGTGCCATTTTCTGTCTTGTTCAGGCTAAAACTGAGGAATGGAAACTGCCTAAAACCCTGCCTTTTACTTTCTTTATGAAGCACAAAAACTCCATGTTCTCCAGCACAGTTCTTATTCTGACTATCATGCTGGCATAGATGGCAGTCAAAACACTAAATCTGTAAATTCCTTGAGGTCTCTGAATGCCAGGAAGCTTGATGTAAAATGCTGCAAATTTTATGAAACTCTTGAAGAACATTAGCCGTGCGGATACACTTTGCTGTTGTTATTGACTGGTTACTTTCATGGGTTTTATTCAACTAATTTACAGATTGAAAATTACTGCTTTCTATGTGCTGCACACATTCTATGTGCTATGATATGGCCAAACCAATGGATGTACAGAGACAACATACACAAGTAGAGATAGAAGAAAGATTTAAAAAGGATATAATAGCAGGTGGACACATTAAAAAATATACTGGGAAGTTCAAACGAAATAAAGAGATTCTGCACATCCTCTGAAGTTAACTTCCATTTATTATTACACATCTAGAGCCAGATTTAAACACAGAAATACTGAATAGAGCATGTCAAAAGCTGCCAGGCAGAAAAGGACCTGGGGATACTGGTTGACAGCCAGCTGAACATGAGCCACCAGTGTGCCCAGGTGACCAAGAAGGCCAACAGCGTCATGGCCTGCATCAGAAATAGTGTGACCAGCAGGAGTAGGGAAGTGATCGTCCCCCTGTACTCAGCACTGGTGAGGCCACACCTTGAATAATGTGTTCAGTTTTGGGCCTCTCACTACAAGAAGGACACTGAGGTGCTGAAGCGTGTGCAGAGAAGGGCAACAAAGCTGGTGAAGGGTCTGGAGCACAAGTCCTATGAGCAGTGGCTGAGGTAACTGAGGTTGTTTAGTCTGGAGAAGAGGAGGCTGAGAGGAGACCTTATTGCTCTCTACAACTATGTGAAAGGAGGTAGTAGAGAAGTGGGTGTTGGGCTCTTCTCCTAAGTTACAAGCAATAGTATGAGAGGAAATGGCCTCAAGTTGCACCAGGAGAGGTTTAGATTGGATATTACAGAAAAAATGTCTTTACTGAAAGAGTGGTCAAGCACTGGATGAGGCTGCCCATGGAAGTGGCGGAGTCACCATCCCTGGAGGTGTTCAAGAAGCATGTGGATGTGGCACTTCAGGACATGTTTTACTGGGCATGGTGGTGTTGGGTTGATGGTTGGACTTGATGATCTTAGAGGTCTTTTCCAACCCTAATGATTCTATGATTCTG